AATAAATTTTTATTAAAAAAGACTAAATTACCTTATTTTTAAAGTATGCATTAAAGCGATTTTTGTCATTTTTCCTCCTCATTTTTTGGAGGTAAGGCGGACAAACACTAATCCCTATATATATATATAAATTTGTAGTGTAAAATAAGAAATTTTAATTTTAGATGAATAAGATATTAAAGTTTTATTTAAAATTGAATTGTAATAGTCACTATTCTGTTATTAAGTGTGGGTCCCAAGAATAGGTAGCATATTATTTGTGGGACCCACATCCTAATATTAATTGAGGGCTTATACAGTTGTCCAATGGGTATTTATATAATTATAATATTAACTTATTATATTTTAATACTCCTAATATTCTATAATTGTGGGACCAATACAATCTCATTAGTATATAATTATAAACATTTGTAAATTAAGTGGAGTATTTTAGATTTATTTCTTATTATTAATATTATTAATAAATATATGTTTGAATGATTCTTACTCATAGTATTTTAGAGATTTTTTTCCTATTATATTAATTCTTAGTTAATTAAGCTAGGTATTTATTTGAAAATTTTAAATTCATTGGGGATTTATTGATGATTTTTTTAAAGTCCAATGAGTATTTATCTTAAAAATTTTAAACCCAATAGGTATTTTTATTGATGATTTTTTTTAAAAAAAACCCATTGAGTATTTATTTAAGAATTTTAAGAATAATTTTATTGTTACATTAATTTGATATATAGTTAAGATATGTAATTCAATATTTAGAAACTCTCGAATGATTATCCATGACAACTGTAAACTCTCAAGTTTTCGAGCTAAAGGCAAAGAGCAACAACCTATTCATTGGCTTCAAGATTCAAGACGAGCAGGGGGTGATAGACAAGCTGGGACAACCTTAGGAATCCTATACGAGGATTTCACTTCTTCTCTTCTTGAGAAGGAATGTCGATATGCAGCCTATGATTTTGATTTTGTAAAAATTAATACGTTAATTTCAATACAAAACTTGCATATAACCTAAAAGTGGGGTTATCCTTTTTGTATTTAACTTATATACTTTATTTTTAATGTGAAATTTTCTCTCTCAACAAATTTCAGCACTGATGAGAATTGCCAAAAAGGCAAAATCTTCTTCATTGCCTAGTGATTATTAATTGATTAATTTTCACCGATATATAGTTGCAAATACGTAAATTAAGAGGCATACCAAAATTTAATTATAATATATGTTGCAGGGTGCTTGATATATCAATCAAAGGTGGGTGAAGACATTAGCTAATTTTTTAAATTAAAATATTTTTACCACAATAAAATGTTGGAAGTTAGGGTGGTAAATCTATAAAGAGAAATTTTCTCTTAAATTAAATTAGATTTATTTATGAAACGATTACATTATCCTTAAAGTAAGGGTATTTGAGGTCATTTGGCAAGCTTCCTTTGGCTATAAAGAGGCCATTCATTTGATGAAAAAGAGGGAAAAAGAGAAGAAGGAGAAAAGAAGAGGAATAGCAAGCTTCAAGCCTCTTGACAATTCTCAAAGTTCTAAGTCCTAACTAAGGAAGGTTTCAACTCTCTATCAAAGAGGAAAAGTTTCAAAGACAAATCTCAAATCCCCTAAAGGACAAGATCAAGCTAAGATCCTTGCCCTTCTAAATTCAATTGTCAATCAAAGGATCGTGCTATTCTAGAATGTGCCATCATTTAAAATTCAAGCGTGTACATTGTAACACCCCAAACTAGCAAATTGTTTCCCATTTCTCTCAAATTCATTGTAATTTATATTTATTATTTTACAAATCAATATACATTTTGCAGATTTTGTGACTATAGTAAGAAATAAGATGTTATATGCGAGTTCCAAAGATGAATTCGAGGAGGAGTTGGATGGGATTCAAATGGAGTTACAAGCAACCCATCCTAACCATCAATGGCTCTTAACAAGTGGAGTTAAGGGCAGTCTTCTTATACCAATTGATAGAGGAGTAGGCCTTTGATATTAAAACCTACCTCTCTGTCAATGTTTAAACAAAGTATAAGACTGTAAAAGTGCATTTTCTTATTTGAAAATCATTCATCTAGTCTTTGCAACTTACCAAAACTATTATTTTTAGTTTTCAAAATAAAAAATTTTCTACATGGATACTAAACAAACCACAAAATATCATACAAAAAAAGATATTTTAATTTTAGACTAAAAAAATAATTGTTAGTTTGCTAAAAAAAATGGAATGAACTAATTATGCCCCTAAATGTCACCAACTAATCCTTATTTTTATGTCTCAATTTGTTAATAATTTAAAATTTAAATTTTAAATTTTGAATTTTGAATTTTGAATTAAGTAGGGAAGGATTTGGAAAAAAGTGAAGTGTTATCCGCTCTCATATAATCAATCATTTTGTGCACTATAAAAGGAAATCATCATAGGATCAATAAGATACTAATGATTTAGAAGGCATTGAGTATTTTTCATCAATATTGAAAATGACAAAATTTTGTTAATGGAATGTTTAATTGTATGTTTGGGTTGAGAAAAATGGAGGAGAGGGGAGGGAAAGATTTTGTAACCAATAAAACTATAATATTTTAAAGAAATAGTACCTATCAGCCTTACTTCCTAAAAATTATGAAGAAAATCATCCCAAAACTACGTCATTTCAATAAATTTTTATTGAAAAAGACTAAATTACTCTATTTTTAAAGCATACATTAAGGTGATTTTTATCTTTTTTCCTCTTAACTTTTTGGAGATAAAGCGGACAAACACTAACCTCATATTTTAATAACGTTATAATTAGATTAATTAGTTAAAAAACTTTCTCCTTTACTTTATTCCCCTCAACCTAGACATACTATAAGTTGGTTGGTGATTAAGGGAGTAAAACGCAACATTTTGATTAAGGGGTAAAATATAGCAAATGGGAGTTGCAGCCTGCAGGCAATCGATCCGCGTGAAACGATCCTAGACATTGTAAAAGCTTGAGCACCATAAACACGCAAGGTTCACGATTTTCCTACAATCACATTGTTTATGAGAGTGATATATTTAGGAAAATAAATGCTCCTATTGTTTTAAAATATAAAATGTTTAATCTTTTTATACGTATTTTTAAGTAATATTTTTTTAATAATATATTAATAATAATAGAATTTTTTTATCAAATAAGATTGCCTAATAAGAACTACTAAAAAAATTTTAATTATTATTTATTTATTATAAAAAAGTATTACTTAAAA